CCTCTCAATTGTTTGACTGGAAGCCACTGGAGTGAGTTCAATTCCAGACCTGAAGGGTAACTAGGGGCCATAGTCTCGGGGGTCTCACCAGGCTCTATCAGACCAGTAAACCTGGTCTTTTTTATGATTTTGAGTTTTGTTCCACATTGTCCTCCCACGCTATCCAGGGTCTCGGCCTAGTTTTTAAACATTAAATTGGGAGAGTTGGAAATGCTGGCAGCTGCTGGAAGCCAGCCAACACCCGGAGATATTTCATGGCTGAACAGGCATTGTCCTTTGCCCAAATGCAAGTCTAGTTTTGCCCCCACTACCTCCCACCTGCCCTCCTGGCACAGAGGGGCTCCTGTGGGGCACCATGGGGGATGTGCTGGTGGAAAACCTGTCCTGGAACAGGCTGGGGTATCAGGGGAGCTCAGGAGGGACGAGCATGGAGACATGCACTTAGGAGCCCCGTCCAGGTGCCCTGGACACGTGCATTTGACAGAGGAGCAAAGTGAGGCTCAAGGAGGCCAGGGGACTTGCCTAATTCCCCTGGGGAAGGAGCGGCAGGCCTAGGGTTTGAGCCCAGGCCTGTCCATAACCCAACTGGAGCCGCTGGAGCAGGACTTAGCTGGTGCCCTGAGAAGAGTCCAGGCAAATGGGGTCAGGCCAGCCTGCAGGATAAGGGCATTGATTTTGGAATCAAATAGGATTTGGATGTGCGCTCTGCCTCTTCTCAGCTAAGAGACACTGGGCAAAGGACTTCACTGTCCAGACCTCAGTCCCCCTGCTTGAAAGTGGGTGGGTACCATAAGAGTTTTGCATCCAAATAATATTTGCTTGGCTGAGTGGCTAACATACAGTAAGAGCTCAGTAAATGCTCACTAGCTTCATAAATAGTACAAATGCAGCTAAAGGTAGACAGGGCCTTGTACTCAGAGTTCAGAATGGAGCCACCGAGCCAAGGGCCCCAAGTATCTCAAGAGATCTAAATTAATCTTTAACAGGTGAATTCCTCTCCTAATTGGTGATGCAGAACATTCCAGAGGCCTGCTGGCATGAAACGTTCCCTCGGCTCCCCAGACTCCATCCGTGACAAGAAGGGGAGCTGCGGGGGACACTAAGGTCGACTGGATGAGCATACTCCACAAAGACAATATTCTCCATTCTACTCTGGTGAGTAGTGACTAGGGTCTTAAAAGCTTGTGGGCAGCCACCTAAGGTACAGCTATTAGTCTCTCCCCGACCAGAGAAAAGAAGAGTGAAGAAAATCAAAGATGCAAAGAAGCAATGAGTCCAAAGGACTAATGGACCACGCGGACATCAGCCTCCACCACCCAGAGACCAGAAGAACTAGATGGTGCCCGGCTACCACTGCTGACCACTCTGAAAGGGATCACAGTAGCAGATTCTGGATAGAGTGAGAGAAAATGTGAAACAAAACTCAAAATCATAAAAAAGACTAGGCTTACTGGTCTGATAGAGACTGGTGGAAACCCCGAGACTATGGCCCTTAGACACCCTTCAAGCCAGCAACTGAACTCAGTCCATGGCCAAACTTTCAGCCAAACGACAGACAGGCCTATAAGGTGGACATTAATACCAGGAAGGTATGCACACATTAGAACAAAGCTCAGAAGGCAGGAAGGGATAGAAAAGAAGGATGAAGGGGAATGGGAAGCAGAGGGAGGAAGGGGGAAAAGTACTGTTATGTGGCGACTGCAGTGAATGTCACAAAACAAAGTGGGTATGAACTGTTGAATGGAAAACCAATCTGTTCTATTAACTTTCACCCAAATCACAATAAAATAATTGTTAAAAAAAAGAAGAAGAAGAAGAAGAAAAGAGGCACTGATGCCTAGTCCTTGTGATTTGGAGAGGTGCCTGGATGTTTCTCTCAAAAATGGGGACATTGAGGCAGAGAGCAGGGTAAGGGGTATCCCCCACCTCCTCAACCTAGCAATAGCCACAGGAGTTCAAAGAACTCAGGGCCTCTCAAAATCATTTCATTTGCTCAGCCACCATGTAACAGAGATTTGCTAAGCACTTACTATGTGCCCACCAAACCAAAACCAAAGTCACTGCCATCAAGTCAATCCAACTCATAGCGACCCCTCCTTGGGTTTCCAAGGCAGTATCTCTATGGAAGTAGATTGCTCAACCTTCTGAGGAGTGGAAGGAAGGCTAGCAGTCAAATGCCTTGGGTACTATGCCACCAGTGCTCCCTACTCTGTGCCTGGCTGGTGCAAATAACCAACACACTCAGCTGCTGAGAGGCTGGCGGTGTACCCAGAGGTACCTGGGAAGAAAGTCTTGGTGATATGCTTCTGAGAAACCAGCCACTGACAGTCCTGGGGAGCCCAGTTCTACTCTGACACAAGTGGGGTCATCGTGAGCCAGATGCCACTCGACAACTGTTTGGTTTTTTTCGGTTTACTATGTGCCGGCACACTGAGACCGAGCCCCATGCATTTCTCTCACGTTCCATCTCCTCCTGGCCACTGCTCTCCTCTCCTCACCCAGGCCCCATCTCTCACCTGGAGGACGTCCCCAGCCTCAGGACCAGCCTCTAGTCCTTCCCACTCTACAGCACGAGGGAACTTTTGAAACCACACAGCTGGACATGTCCTTCCCAGCCTGGACTTTTAGTGCCGACCTGGCTCCTGCCTACCCAACCCCTTGCCTTTCCTGTTCACATCAAGCACCGGCAAAAGGCCAAGTTCACCCTCCCAGCCAAGCCTCTGCTGGTGCCCTTCCTCCCCTTTCTGCATCTGTTCTTCCAGGTGTGGCTCAAAGGCCACCTCCACCACCAGCAGCCCCTTCCTTGATGCCTTCTGTGCCTGCTCTCTACCCTACAGCGTCCTCTCCTGGCCACCACTAAGTCAACAGCAGGTACTGCCTCACACCTGCTGTCTATTTGCACACCTTGCTGGGTGCCCTCAAGGAAGGTGAGGGTGCTGGGCACCTGGAGACAACAGCTGAGAGAGAGACACAAGAGGGGGCAATCCCAATGGGAAGGCAGGACACAGGGAACAGGTAACTATGGGGAGGAAGCGGGAAGAGAGCTGTTACATTGTGGGGAATTGCAGTCAATGTCATGAGACAAAATGTATGTGAAGTGGTATATGGAAAATGAATCTGCTCTGTAAACTTGCACCTGAATCACAATAAAAATTAAAAAAAAAAAAAAAAGAGGGAGCAATCCCAGCCCCAGGAGAGATAGTGGGGGGGGGGCCAGTCTGTCTTCCCACCTCCCTATCTCCCTTGGACCATTCAGTTCACATCCCTCATCTGGGACCAGGCTAGGGACCAAGCTGCCTCTGGAGCCCCAGGGCCTGCCATAGACAATTTTCAGGGAGGTTAGTTGGACAAGCAGTAGGTGGCTGAGGCCCACCTCTCACCGGAGGAGGTGGACCCCCCACGTCGACTGCCTGGTTCTAAGGCACCTGGATCGCACTCTGGGAACCCCCAGGAGCACGTGGGAAACACCCAGCCAGGGGCCCTCCCACTCTCTTTTCTCAGGTGAGCGCTCCGTATACCTGGTACAACTCCATTTTGAAATAATCCCATTCTGGCTTCAGAAACTTGACCCTCAGCTATGAACTGCCCTTGGCCATTTGTGTTAGAGAGCCCCTGTCTCCCATCTACCAATAATGAAAGGTGGAAAAGAGGGCCTCCCAGCCTTCAGGCTCCCACTGCTGTTCAAACAGAATGAATTCGGGGAATGTTGTGGAATGGTCACTTTCCTTAGTTCACCCCTTCCATTAAGAAACTATCAGGAGCAACAATAGCAACGACAATAATAATAATAACAGCTGATAATGGCTAACGCTCACTGAGCACTGTGCCAGGCTCCTCATGTGCCCTGTGTCCTCATGACAGCCCTGGGGGGAAAGGAAGCTTAGCCAGCTGAGGGACTAGCCCAGGGTCACAAGGGGGAAGGGAAGTGAGCAGGGCCAGGCGTCTAACCCTTAGGCCATCCTGCCTTGAAGATGACCTGGCCAATTCTCACCTTCCTCCAGAGACAGCTGCTGAGTTACCCACTGCCCTCAGCCCCCCACCTCCCAGTCTAAGTGGTAAAACTTAAACCCTGAGTAGTTCTCCACACAGCCGAACAAAGCTCACGTGTGACATGTGCTTAAAATTTCAGGGGTTCCTGCCCCCCCCCCCAGTAGAAGCCCTGTTTCAAATGTTGACCTAGACCAGAGGGAGGGCTGCCAAGTCCCCTGTCACTTCCCGGGCACTCCCTGTGCGCCCAGCCCTGTGGGCAGAGCTGCTGCAGGGACGGGCCACCTGGTGTGACGAGGAGGGCTTTGGAACTGGACAGCCCAGGGTTGAAATCCCACTCAGCTGTGTCCCCTGCTGGGGGGCGGGGTGCTCAGTTTCCTTATTTGCAACATAAGGAGGCCAGGCAGAGGGGACACTGGGATTGGGCCAGGCAGGGGTGACAGGCAGCCCAACCCATGGGTCTGTGGTTGGATATGGAGTGGGGAGAGGGAGAGTCCTCCCCCCTGTCCTCAGGGACCGTTTGGAGTCAGGGATGGAGATGGGTTAAAGATTTCCATGGTTCCAGGGGAAAAAGCCATCTCTCTGGGACTCAGTAACCAAGAAGCGGTCTTTGTAAGCTCCTGACTCCCAAAGTCCCTCCTCCCACCTGTTCAGAGGGCCAAACCTGGGACCCCCACTCCTTCTTCTAAACCCCCAAGTTGGGCTAAGGGGCTTCCTTGCCTTTGGTCTCCGGGACCCAGGGACCTCCCGCCCCCAGACCTGCAAACCACATCGGCGCCCATTTCACAGGTGATGAAACTGAGGCCTGGAGACCTTGTGCCCGGCCCAAGGGAAGAGCAGAGGGCACAGACCGGAGCCCGCACCTCCTGCGCCCCGGCCAGGCCAGGGCTTCGGAGCCTCGGGACCCTCCGGCGCCAGACGGGCCGCGGAGACGTCCCCACGGACGCGAGGGGATCTCGGCTGGTCCGTTTCTCCCCGGGGGCCCCCTCCCCCAGGGCCCCGGTCCCACTCACCTCCAGGACGCTGGGCGCTGGCGGCCGGGAGCGCGGCGCTTCCTGAATCCCGCCGGCTGCCGGGCGCCCGCCCGCCGCGGCGTCTCCTCCCCCGGCTCAGGTTCCACAGCCAGCCGCCGGGTCACCACGCCCCCGGCCGCGGCCACCCGCCAGACGAAGACGGTCTGCGTCCGCCCGCTCCCAGCGCGCCCTCCCCGGGGCTGCACCCCTGGGGGCGGGCCCTCAGTTACCCTACCTGGAAAATGAGGGTCACCATGCACGTGCTTCTTGGGGAAAGCTCTGGTTGGAATCCCAGTTGGTCTTCTCTGTGACCTCTGGCTCAGGACTCCGCAGCCCCGTGCATTTCCTCATCCGTTACTAGGCATCCTGGCCTGCTCCTCCGTGCATTCGTTCACTCATTCATTCCACAGACAATTCATTCCCGGGCTTGTCTGCGCTGGTTCCCCGCCCTCAGACAGAGGAGGTACCTGAGTTCCAGTCAGAGCCAGTTCAGGACTGAGTGGCTTTGAGTTCCTCTCCCGGAGCTTGGTCCCAGGGTGGCGCAGACCGTTTGCACTCAACCTAAAGATGGGCGGTTCAAACTCACTCAGCAGCACCGCAGAAGAAAGGCCTGGTAATCGGCTTCCATAAAGGTTACAGCCAGGAAAACCTTGAGCTCTAGTCTGTAACACGTGGGGTCACCATGAGTGGGACTCACCTCCGTGGCAACGGGGTTTTTGGGTTTGTTCACCCAGCACTCAGCACCGGGCACGGCACAGAGTGGACACCAACATGTATTTTTTCATTGAGTGATGAACGTGAGCCCCAACACCCAGCCCTGCCACGTACCCGGGCCTGAGTCTATTTGAATACCTCCACAGGATGGGCAGCTCATTTCTGAACAGGCAGGACGCCCCCATGGACAGGTTGGAAAGCCTAGTGGATCAGAATCCTTGGACTCAAACCTCGGCTCTGTGACTAACTTATTGTGTGGCTTTAGGCAAATCCCTTATGTCCTTACCTCAATGTGCCCATGTGCAGAATGGGGCCTCACCTGAATGATCAGGTATGTCTAGGCAGCGGGGAGTGTGCCCATGACCACGTATAGGGTTGGCAGATGATGTTTCTATATGTATATTTGTATGTGCTGTAAGAATTTCCAGGTATATAGTAGGGCTGACAGGGACAAGGTTGTGGTGACTTCTTGGCCACACCAGCTACCCGGAGGGAGCAAGTAGTTGGACTTGTGGGCTCGGGACCATGGTCCCAGGGGACATCAAGCTCAAGTGGCATAACATACTACACAAAAACATTGTTCTACATCCTACTTTCGTGATTAGTGACTGGGGCCTTAAAAGTTTTCAAGCGGCCATCTAGATGCAACGATGGGTCTCTCCTCGTCCAGAGCAAAGAAGAATGAAGAAAACCAAAGATGCATGGAAAGAATTAGTCCAAGGGACTGGTAGACCCTGCAGTCCTCAGCCTATATGACCATGAGACCAGAAGAACTAGATGATGTCCAGGTACCACCATCAACTATTCAGAGGGGGATCAGTGCAGGAGATCCTGATAGAGTAGGAGAATAATGTGGAACAAAACTCAACATCATAAAAACAAAGACCAGGTTTGCTGGTCTGATAGGGCTTGGTGAGACCCCTGAGACTATGGCCCCTAGTTATCCTTCAAGTCTGAAACTGAGCTCATTCCTGTGGCTTCCAGCCAAACCACAGGCACATGGGGTGAACATTCACATCAGGTAAATATACTCCTTGGAATGATCAGCTGGAAAACAGAAGGGCAGTGTTTGCACAGGGAGAGAGCTGGGGCACAGGGTGGTGGTGGTGGTGGGTAATTCATGGGAGGGAAGGACACAGGAAAGAGGTAACTATGGGGAGGAAATGGGAAGAGAGCTGTTACATTGTGGGGAATTGCAGTCAATGTCATGAGACAAAAGGTGTATGAACTACTGTATGGAAAATGAATCTGCTCTGTAAACTTTCACTCAAACACAATAAATTTTTTTTACAAATAATAAGGACTGGGGCCTTGCAGTGAAGGTCACAGTAAAGATGCTGGGAGCACCGGGACCACGCAGGGCTTTTATCCATTCTGATCACTATTGTTGCTGTTAACAAACTGGACTGACTCCCTCGTTGGTAACACAGTGGGATAGGTCCTTCCCCCTCAGCTTGCAAACAGAAGTGTCTCCCATGAGGTGGTGTTTTAGTGACGAAAACCAACCCAAACCAAGCCCACTGCCATTGGTGAGTCAATTCCATCTCATAGTGACACTATAGGTCACAGCAGAACTGCCCCAAAAGATTTCCAAGGCTGTAAAACTTTATGGAAGCAGATTGTCTCACCTTTTTCCCTCAGAGCAGTTGGTGGGTTCGAACTGCTGACCTTCCAGTTAACAGCCAAAAGCTTTAACCACTGTACCACCAGGGCTCCTCTTGAAGTGACTGGAAAGTGGAATTTTAGAATTGTTAGAGAGAAAAAAAAAAAAACCTGAACAGAAGTGATGCATTCAAACCATCAGTGTGAAAAATATGCACAGAAACAAAGTGAGACTATCAAGTAAACCTTCCTCACAACCAGGCTGTGAGGAAGGGATCGTGGTGCTCACTTTAGAGATGGGGAAACTGAGGCCTGGAGAGAAAAGTGGCCTCTCAAAAAACTGTTCTTCTCTGTGGGGAGTAGGGGTGGGGGTGGGAGGCGGAGAAAAACCAGAGAACTTTTTGCCTCTGGATTTCTGGAGTCTCAACATAAAGAAAACGAAAATCCTCACAGCTGGACCAATAAGCAGCATTACTATAAATGAAGAGAAGACTGAAATTGTCAAAAACTTCATATTATGTGGTTCCATAATCAACACCAATGGAAGCAGCAGTCAAGAAATCAGATGACATATTGCACTGGGAAAATCTGCCGCAAAGGACATCTTTCAAGTGCTGAAGAGCAAAGACGTCTCCTTGAGGATTAAGGTGCACCTGACACAAACCATGGTATTTTCAGTCACCTCATATGTACGTGAGAGGTGGACAATGAATAAGGAAGACGAAGAAGAGTTGATGCTTTTGAGCTGTGGTGCTGGTGAAGAATGCTGAAGGTACCATGGACTGCCAGAAGAATGAACAAATCTGTCCTGGAAGAAGTGCAGCCGGAATGCTCCCTGGAAGCGAGAATGGCCAGACTTCGTCTCACCTGCTTGGTCATGTTGTCAGAAGGGACCATTCCCTGGAGAAGGATATCGTGCTTGGTAAAGTGGAGGGTCAGCGAGAAAGGGGAAGGCCCTCAACGAGATGGACTGACACGGTGGCTGCAGCGATGGGCTCAGGTAGAGCGAGGATGGCGCAGGACCAGGCAGTGTTTCATCCTGTTGTTCACAGGGTGGCTCTGAGGCAGAGCAGAGTCCATGGCACCTGACAACAAGGGTGGGAAGCCTCCCGAGCAAAGAGGCAGCTGCCGGGGAGGGGGGAGGAATGTAAACACAGCCCCTCACACCTTCCAGACAGAAGGCCTCCCTGCTGGGGCCTTCCCAGAGGGCCTGGGGCAGGAGGGGAGGACAGAACCAAGTCTGGGCCCATTTCTGCAGACAACCCAAACCCACAGCCTTCAATTCTGTCCATAATGACAGAGCAGAACTGCCTCATAAGGTTTCCAAGGCTGTAAATCTTTACAGAAACAAACCGCCTCATCTTTCTGGTGGGTAGCAACTGCCAACTTTTCGATTAGCGCCAAGCTGTGCCACCAGGGCTCCTGATTCTTAGTGGGAAAAAAAAAAAAAAACTCACTGCCATTGAGTCAGATCCGACTCAGAGCGACCTCTCCTTGGGTTTCCGAGGCAGTATCACTATGGAAGTAGATTGCCCAACCTTCCTTCTGAGGAGTGGCTGGTGGGTTTGAACCGCCAGCCTTCTGGTTAGCAGTCAAGTGCCTTAGGCACTACGCCACCAGAGAAGGTGCTTTAAAACTACTGGCTGGTGGGAAGTGTGAGGAGGGTTACCAAAAAAGAAAAAAAAAAAAATGTTCTCCAAGGTCAAAAGATCTGGATATGAATGCCAGCTCTATCACACTTCTGGGGAGCTCCGGTGGTGTAGTGCCTAAGGCATTTGGCTGCTAACCAGAAAGCTGGTGGTTCAAACCCACCAGCCACTCCTTGGAAGGAAAGTTGGGCATCTACTTCCATAGAGATACCACCTGGGAAACCCAAGGAGGGGGCTCTGTGAGTCGGATCCAACTCAACGGGCAGTGAGTTTGTTTGTCTTTTTTTTGGTATTACACTTCTGAGCTGTGTGACCTAGGGCAGGTGACCCTGCTTCTCTGAGCTTTGCTTCCCTCTTCTGTAAAATGGGCTTTTAACTGCACTCATTTCATGTTTCATACTGTCAGGAGGATTAAATCCGATAGTGCTCTGGAGGCCCCAGCAAGTGCTGGGACATGGTAACCGATCACTAACTAGTCCCATGATGTCATCATCCTTCCTCCATTGAGATTAGCTTAACATTCCCTTCCAAGTGCTCTCAAGTTTACACTGTGCTCTCTCTTACTCTAATATCCATCCTGCTCCACCAGCAATCTTGGGAGGGTGGCATTAAAACCAATTGAGTTGATTCTGACTCATGCAACCCTACAGGACATAGAAGAACTGCCCCATAGGGTTTCCAAGGCTGTATGTAATCCTTACAGAAAGAAGAATGGTGGTGCAATGGGTAAACATTTGGTTGCTAACTGAAAGGCTGGCGGTTCAAACCCACCCAACACTCCACGGGAAGAAGATATGGCAATCTTCTCTGATAAAGATTACCCTATGGGGACTGTAAAATGGTACCACCACTGTGGAAAGCAGTATAGCAATTCCTTAAAAAGCTGGAATTAGAAATACCATTTGACTCAGCAATTCTATTACTAGGTATATATCCTAAAGAAGTAAGAGCCAGGACAAGAACAGACATATGCACACCTATGTTCATCGCAGCACTATTTACAATAGCCAAAAGACGGAAACAACCTAGGTGTCCATCAACTGAGGAATGGATAACCAAACCATGGTACAAACACACAATGGAAT